ATGGTATAATAGTTGTGCTCAGAGAGGGGCAGAGTCTTAGTCCAATTTTATGCAAGACACCATGATAATAAAGTACATTATTGAGGATGGCATAGCAGTATGCTAAGGGTCATAGCAATCATCTGAGAAGTCCTGTGATTCATAGCCAAATCAATTTTTACTGAAGCAGCTCAAAGGATATGATTTTAACATGATATCCTTTAAGTCAATGTCCAGAGTTTGCGTGTGGATAGATTGCAGTGCAGGATTTGGACTGTTCTGTCAAGAGCCCAGTTTTGAAAATACGCTTCCTACCATTCTTTATCGTCTTTATGAAGTCCTTCCCTCCTGAGTGAAAATACAGGGCAACAGATTGTTGTGGGCAATCTGTGGGTAATTTCGGAAGCTTGCATGTTATTCTTACTAATAGAGGTGGCAATTTCAGTCATCTGTCTTTAACTAAGACAATAGATATTAATTTAGATAAAAATTAGTAGGAACAACTACTCATTTTTAATGTACAAGAGGGAATCACAGAATCACAGAATGTTAGGGATTGGAAGGGACCTCAAAGGATCATCTAGTTCAATCCCCCCGTCGGAGCAGGACCACAAGTTTTCATACTTCAAAATTTTAAAAGTTTTCCATGCTTTAAAATTCAACTTCTTACCAGAAAGCAGTGTCAGTTTAGGGGCAAAAATGGAATTAGGAAAGTTGGAAAGTCAGGAAACAGCTGACAAAAGTTTAAAAACTGAATTAATTTTGAGAGTGTTTTCCTATCCAGGAGTTAAACTGAATGTCAGTCACTTCTTAGCAGCACCATATAAATGAAAAGAAATGCAAAAACAAGTCTACCAGTTCCTCCACATGTCACTGTCACTGGGTGACTGTTAGCACCTACGTTAGTCACTCCTTCAACGGGCCATGAAATTGTTCCAGCTTTTAAAATGTGTGAGAGAATTAAGGCAGGTGCTGGCACATCATAAATGAAAATCTAACCTTCAAGCTGGTACAGTAGTGGCATTGTTACTGTTTGCATTTTTGGAAACACATGACCTGTCAAGTTGCAGTAATATTATTTTGTGCTTTTATAGTATTAAAAATCGGTGGGGTCTTTGGACTGCCCACGTGAAGTGTGAGACTTACACGTCTAAGAAAATACATTATTTATTGATACTCAGGATGTAAGCATGTTTTTTTGGTTGTTGTTACTGACTTTTTGTTGCTCAATAGCTGTTGGAATACTTAAGGAAGAAACTTGCTACAGAAGGTGCTCACACGTCTGCTGTTGAAGAAATCAAACACTGAACCATTTATGATAAAAAAAAAAACCCTAACGACTTCTCTGGAAAACCTCTCAGAATAATTATACTCATAAAAACAGCATACAAAGTCATATTTTAATTTAATAGCAGAACAAATGCTCAGCATTTTTGCATAAAAAGAAATAGCAGAATAGAGAGAGTCATCTTCAGTCCATGGATATTTTTCTTGAGCTCTTCTTTAAACCTGAAATCCAGTGACTTGCTATGCAGCTTCTTATCTCAAGCAATCACTACTGTTCCCTAAAAGGAGTGCTTAATCTTTAGTTTCTTACGAGGTTCCTCTTACGAATAAAACTCTGTTGAATCTTACTACCTTCAAAAAACTGTCCAGTTTCTGTCCTCCCTTTTTCCAAAACTTATACCAGATTGCAGAATGAAAACATCACAGCTGCATGTGAGGTTCTCTTAAAAGTTCAGATAAAATTACCTAAGTCATTACCAGTTTAGGAAGCCTGCATGTTATTCTTACTAACAATAAGGTAGTTTAATTACTCCGATTGCTGATTTAATCACTGTATAAAAACTGCCTTGGTTTTTGTGTCACATTTATCCCTATATGAAAATCTCCTAATACAGCATTAGGGAATTAGAATTATCCTGGTACTGAGTGAAAAGAACATATTCTGTTGTGTAACCAGAAATGCATGTATTGCCTGAATATACTTGCTTTCCTAATTGTACGACTGAAATATTTTCTTCATTTATCATTTGCCTTACTATGTAGAAAGTCCAGCAGACAATACAATAGAATTACTAACCTGTTCTTTCTCTCTTTTCTCTCATTTTCCAAAAATGAGTCATACATTTATGCTTTCAAACTCTATTTTGAGGTCTCTTTTGGTGTTACTTGTTTGGTTTTATATCCAAGATCACCTTGTATGCTAGTGCTGTGCAATTTTAATATATTCCAGTGACACTCCAGTGAGGTAGCAATGTTCAATTGTATAGGTGGGGAACAGAAGCACAGAAGAGTAAGAGCAGCTTTCCCATACCTAACTCTGCCCAGTTGTTTGGGATCCTCTAGATATGTACATTCTGGTGATATATCACCCTGTCAGTGACTTAGCCTGAATCACAGTAAGGTCTGTGGCAGGCAGCGTACTGAACTCGGATCTTCCAAGTCCTACATGACTACTCTGATTACTGGAACGTACTTCCGTTCTGGAATAAACAAATATATTATACTGAAGTATAGGGATTTGAATACTGCTTCTCCATGCGGATTGGCAAGAAGCATGAGCTTTATGATTTTTGTACCGCTCTTTTGAAGTTTTTGCTGCTTCTCTTATTCAATCATTGAGAATGTCATCCTGCGTCTTGGGTTTCACGGTTTCTGTACTGGTGTTGCTTTTCGCAGATACTACACTCTCAGGGGAAATCGGCACCAAGAAAAAAGTGAAAAGACTGTTAAGTTTCCAGAGGTATTTCCATGCATCCCGGTTACTGCGTGGAATTGTACCACAAGCCTCTCTGTACCTACTGGATGAGGACTACCTTGGACAAGCAAGGGTAAGAGTCTCCATATCTCCATTTCTTTTAATAATATTCCAGAGAGTGTCAGTTTTATTTCAGTGTTGAGATAAACAAATGTATGGCTGATCTTTCTTAAACGACCCACGTTACTTGCCTGCCTCGCAGCAGACTGTCCATTCCTCTTTTATGGTTACAGCTTTTAAGGCTCGGTCTCAAAGCAGCAAGAAAATGTCTAAATCTATTCAGCGTTTTCATATTCTGTCAACTGACATTATAATCTGGATTTATTAAAGGATGAAAGATCGCTGGCTGAGTTACTGATTTAAGTAAGTGCAGCCTTGACACAGGATTTAGTTCATCCGCTTGAAAAAAGACAGCTGTCTCTCAGCTGGTATGGAGCAGCTATTAGGCAACCCATAATAGCTCTCCGTAATGGCAAAGGCTAGGAAGCAGGGAACATTCACTGCAAAGAATTTCACAATAATCGAAATACAATTCTCTCATTTTGCAGCTTTTATACTTGCTTCGAATGATGTTTTCTAGCAAAACTTGCATGACCGATGGCATTGGGATTGTGTGACTAGGCAATTTTTATTCTCTGCAAGAGAAGATTGCATGCCAGGTGTTAGAAAGGAATTAAGAATCCAGAGCTGGTTTGAATACAGACTAAGCGGTGGGAGTAAACGCACGTTTCACTCACACATAGGCTGCTGCAGGTCATACGGTTAGTCCAGGCTCGGTCTCTGAACTGGTGTAGCTGTAGAAACATATCCATATCACATAAGGTGATATGGATGGATTCTTCTCTGTGGCTGAGTGAGCTTCACAGAAGCACTGTATCTATGTTTATAAAAGCTATTCCTATGTATTGGTTTGTTTAGCAAAATGTAATTCATATTCACCATGAGAGCTGAGCTAAGATTGTGTTTTAATGTAATGAAAATCTTCAGAGAAAATGTACTGAATTGATTTGGGGACATGAAAGAACAAGAAAAAAGTCGTGCAGTAAAAGGGAATATTTTCATAATATTTTGTTTTATATTATTCCATGTTTTGAGCTCCATTGAGAAGGCATTCTCAAAGCCTTCTCCCTTGAAAGTGCAAGTGATATCAACCCTGTGATTGATTAATGTGGAATAATAATTGAAAATCTGCTTTACAGTTTGACATACCAGTCAGGGTTTCGTATTTGTTTTTTCTAGCATATGCTATCCAAAGTGGGAATGTGGGATTTTGACATTTTCTTATTTGACCGCTTGACAAATGGTAAGTAATTTTTAAAAAGTTTTTATTTTAGTATCTCTCATATACGACTATTCTAAAGATCCCTAATTAATTAATTGCTAACTGCTTCCAGTTTAGATTACTGGAGAGAAATTGGACACAGTTAACTTCTCTTAAAATCATATCCTTTTCAGGCTTTTCCCAGAACATTCATAACTATAGGATAATGTTTAGAGTGGGTTTGTATATTAATCTAATCTCCTATGTTTGTTATGGTCAGCTTTTCAAGGAGGTGTTTCAGTTTCCTTTACCTGGGAAATTCCAAAGGTCCCTTAAATACACCTGTTAGGTACATGGGTCGGTAAGTCCAGACCTCCATAATCAGTCAATTTCTATCAAAATGAAATACTTTTAACTGAAGATCCCCTTGCTTCTCTTCAGCAGCAAAACTTAGGAAATTCCTTAAGACAGTAAAAATCTGTGAAATGTTTTGCCTAAATCTGAGCCTGTAACACCACACACCCCCCAGTCTCTAGGCAATACCTCTTGATCAGGTAGCTGCTGGAGAGGGTTATGATCACACCTTTCTCCTTTCTGTATTGCTCGTAGGAATGAGATCTCTCATTCCTCACCCCTGATCTAATTACGTTTGACTGGGGCAGGAAGCGTAGAAAAAAGTTGATTTAGAAGGTAATTCAGCTGAGTGACTGGCGGTGAAGAGTGGAAAGGACTGCAAATGGCAAGGGAAGCGAAAACATAATTCTTCTCAATTACCTTTCTATGCCCCTGCTCAGTAGTCAAGGCCAAATAAGTTTCCATGTCCTCTTCGTACATATATTTATTTTCTTTCCTGAATTACATTAAATAAGAAAAGACATCCTTCAAACATTGTTTATACATTGTATGGGCTGGTTGGTTTGGGGCTGGGTTTTTTTCTAACTTTTCTGGAAACATTGCTGCTGAATTATGCAGTGTAAATTTTTTAAAATACTGTGTGTATGTATGGTTGATCATATAATACTAGTTAGGCTCAATTTTGCCAGTGTTCCCAGTATTGGATTCACAGGAAGGCCAATATAACATTACAGTGGGACTTGAGACCGTAAATGCTGCAACTCATTTTTCCTGTCTGCATCATCATTATGTGATGCAATTGTAGCTGAACTAGGTACAAGAATTAATGACATGTTTGTACAGCCGTGTGTAAAATAAAAAATTTAATTACGAACTACTGATTTCTCCCTAATTAATTAATTAGTACAGTATGACAAACTGAAGTGTCAGAGAAGACGTTCTCCTTTCTGTCATTTCTGGAGGTAGACCTGGATTATGAAGATGATGAGGTTCTCAAACAAGCCTGTCAAAAGATTTCCAGTTAAAACCACGTGTCATAGTGGAACCAGCAAACGTGTCTTTATGGCATCTAGACACAAGAATGGCACTTCACTGGTACAGCCATACCATCAAATCCTGATTATATACAGGAGTAATTTATATAAGCTACTTTTGAATACATGAGTTTCATCCAAGCTCATATGATAGGAGCTAAGGTGATAGGAGCAGACTAATAGGAAATTGCCAAGATTTTCAGTCTTGCTTGGTTTGCAACTACACATTAAAGGAGTCTAATACTTGTTCCTTCCTGCTTTTAGGAAACAGTCTCGTAACACTGCTTTGTCACCTCTTCAATGTGCATGGACTTATTCACCATTTCCAATTAGATATGGTTACATTACACAGGTTTTTAGGTAAGTGCTCATCTCAAAACCATCTTTACATGCAGTTTACAGCTGAAGTGGGGCATCAGAGAAGGCACTGGCTTGGTCTGCGTATCTATGTAAAATCATGCGTGTTGTTGCAAGTATTTCAGTAAAACATTTCCGTGGTAGATATTAGCATACGATTTACAGGCACTCAGGTACTTGGTTCAGTACCTGTTAAGTCAATGCAGGGACTTCAGAAGGCTCTGCTTTGGGTTGAAGAATCCCAGTACCATATCCCAATCACTACTGGTGATTTTAGAAGAAGTATGCCATGCAGAGAGTAGGCCCACACAGACGTTGCAGAACCTACCCATACACAGTACAATGGTGGTGCAGTGCCATTATTTTAGTGACTAATAGACCACTGAGACCCAGAGCAGTTAAAAGCTTATGTGCAAAATTTAACAAATTATATCAAGCTGTCTGCGCTGAATAGTGTTGATGAAAGCCCCTGCTGCTGTTACTGCCAACAGAAATATTAGCCCCATGCTGTCAGTGAACCAAAAGAAGAAATTGGCCAAAATCAATTACTTTTTGCATCATGTTTTGAACGCAGCTGAATGCTGGTTTGTTGGGCTGTCAGACGGAGTTTCAAAGGCAAGGTCTCTTCTTTAAGGCAGCGTAATTGTCACTTCTGGAAAGGATTCCAGACAAAATCTCCCTGGCGTTTCTGACTCCTGCGGGCAGCCACGAAGTGGACTCTCAGATGATTAGAGTTAGCAGTATCCAGGGTTTAAAGGATTGCCCACTGTAACTTCAAATGCTCGTGGAGCTGGAAACAAAGTGAAGTCCAGGACTTTCTTTGGCGTTCCCCACGCTGGAGGCGAGTGCCATGGGAAATTTGCCCGTTGCCTTTCTGTTTGATTAATTTGATAGTGTCTAGGAGAGCGCTTTGGGCAAGATGACGCGCAGCTGCCGCTGTTTACGTGGTGTTGCCCCGAGACCACCGAATGGTGCGAGCATTGCTGCCAAGGAGCAGAGGACTGTGAAGCACACACCTCCGTGATTTTTTCTGCAAGTGAAAGCTGAGAGTTAAAAGGTTGTCGCTCGGCCTTTCAGCTGGCCCAGTTCCAGCACTGCACAGTAAAACAAGAGGGACTGGTATTTTAAAATGGACGCCGAGATGTGACTAAAATTATCACAGGAGATTTTGCTCCGAATACCCCGATGCTTTATGTTTTGATTCTCCGTCTGGAGGATGTAGGAATGCCTTTGACCATTGCTAGTCACTTGAATAACAAATGATGCCAGGATATCAGGGCCTCACTCCCTGCTGCTGCAAAATAGGTGGTACTGCCTTAATGACATATTACTCCCCTATGACAGCAGCATAAATAATTACACTCCGTTGTGGATAAATTTGCCTCTCTTCCTTATTTATTTTACTGCTGAATGAGAGCCTTCACTAAGGCAAGAAAGAGTTGATTTATGAACTAGACCCAGTGTATTCCCTTGGGCCTCACAAATCCTTTCATGCATTTTTTCTCTAAAGGTATCCCAATAAGAGCACTGGTCTAAGTAAGGTACAGATATTTGAAGAAACTCCTTAGGCAACTGACTGTAAAACCTCAAATTGTATTTTAAATCCAGTTCCCACTTGTGGCCGTGGCATTCAGAGACAAAAGGATCTTTGTTTTCTGTTTTGGTTCCCAGTTATGGTTCAAGAAGATTACCATAGCCAAAACCCGTACCACAACGCTGTCCATGCTGCCGACGTCACACAAGCTATGCATTGCTATCTGAGGGAGCCCAAGGTAATGACAGCCTCTCACAATGATGTTGCTTTCAGATAATTTTTTTTTTCCCACGACTGAAAAAAAAACAACCCAAAAGCTATTTTTAGATAGTGGAAAATGGTTGCATACTTGAAGTCAGCAACGAGGCAGTAGCAGAGCCAGCTACAAATTACAGATGCTTCACACAAGCTCCTGGAGTCACTTCTCATCACGCAGGTGACGTATCAAAGTGCTGTCTTATGACCTCCAGCAAGTTTTACCATGATGGTGTGTACCAGCCATCCCCCCAGCAAAGCCTGCAGAACGCAGCCCATTCCCGTCTCTCAGTCCCTTCGAGGCATAAGCCCCACATCGATGTTTCACAGTACCAGATTGGACAGTGCCACACTAGAAAAGGAGGGAACGGTCCCTTTGCCTGGGTCTGTTGTGGTTTCCTCTGCACGGATGAACAGCAGCTTCCTGACTGCTGCAGCGAGAGCTCACAGCGGGGGGGTGTGACGTTGGTTTATGTGTTACTGGGAGGCACTGTGATACTGTCATGCGGAGCCACAGTGTGAGGATATACCCAGCCTTTCCTGGCTTGGCTTAGAATTAGCAAATTGGTAGACTAGAATATAGTAAGTGAGGACAGGAGCAGGCCTGAGCTTTCCTGTATTTCCATCTCCCGTAAGATCTGCAAGTCTCTTCTGTCAAGAGAACATCCAGGATCTGTACCGTACTGCTCTTCATTTCCCACCTCAGGATGCCTCTTTCAGCTCGAAGGGGCCCGTACTCTGTACAGACTCACTGGGCTGGTAAAAACTGTCTCACTCTCAGAAACAGAAAACACTAAGACTTCCAGTTATTTTTTTCCAATGATAACAAAATTTGCTTCTGAATGATAAGCTGTATAGAAAAAAAAAATCTGGGCAGGTTTTCAAACTTGGATGTCTGAAGAAAGGTAAATTATGTTCTCTAATAAAATACCTGTATTTGAAATGAGATATCTAACAGCCAAGTTTGAAATTTCAAAGTTTGTAAACTCTGCGGTTTACAGCACAGTGCTTGCTAGAAAAATGAATCATAGAATCATAGAATCACAGAATGGTTTGGGTTGGAAAGGACCTCAAAGATCATCTAGTTCCAACCCCCCTGCCACGGGCAGGGAAACCCTCCACTACACCAGTTTGCCCAAAGCCTCATCCAACCTGGCCTTGAACACTTGCAGGGATGGGGCATCTACAACTTCTCTGGGCAACCTGTGCCAGTGTCTCACCACCCTCAGAGTGAAAAATTTCTTCCTTATATCCAATCTAAATCTCCCCTCTTTCAGTTTAAATCCATTGCCCCTTGTCCTATCCTACGAAGCCCGATGCGTTGTTGGTATTACTAAATACTGCGTGAGGCAGAGCTCTTACCATGTATGCCAACATACGCCAGCCTGCTCGTATACTTACTTGCTTTTTTAAACTGAATCTTTTAGACAAACCTCAAGCACTTCTTGTGTGCTTATATCACAATCCTTATATTGCCATAAGCGATAAAGAGCTAAGAAATACAAGCTGTAATAAAATATGAGTATATAGTCTGATATCTTTATAGATGTTTGTTCAACAGTTGCCTTAAAAACGTTGTTCACAGAATTTATTTTATATTTGACATTTGTGTACAAATGCCTACAAAACTGAGCAATGCCATGATGTCAGCTGGTTTGTTTATTTGCCAAAAGGAAAAAAAAAAAGTGTTCATGTTCTTGTGATTAACGTGTGATTCAGCTTGCCAACTTCCTCACCCCGTCGGACGTCATGCTCGGACTGCTAGCTGCTGCAGCTCATGACGTGGATCATCCAGGGGTCAACCAACCCTTTCTGATCAAAACTAAACACCACCTTGCCAGCCTGTACCAGGTAAAACTGCTCATCAAGTTGCTAATATGTAAAATGGTGTCAAGGAGAGTCTAAGCAATTTCCTGTGAACTTTAATGCCAAAATCTGGTGGTGGGGGGATGTTCATCAACTCAGCCTTCACATTAGAGTCTGGACAATTTCAGTTAAGCTTCTCACTGGGTGTCTCTTCTTACAGCAGAGCTGATAGACATGAGAAAGAAGGTGAAAATGTCAGATTTTGTTGAGGACATTTAAACCAAATCATTGTGAGACTATTTGTACTTCATCTTCGTTCAGTGAGCGAGTCAGCAGCAGGCATGTTCTAAATTGGGGTTGCATTAAAAGAAACTTTTGCTTCATGTGGGTCTAGTAAAATTAAACACTTAATGAATACTGCAATTTGGAAAAAAATAAAATAGAAGATAGAGGAAACCACAGGAAAAGTTGTAGATATTTGCACAAACATGCCTAGAGATACAAAGAAAGGACTTAAAAACAGCCACTGTAGATCACACCACAGGCTGTCTAGACCAGTCTCCTGTTTCTAAGAGCAGCCAGTAAAAGATCTCAGAGAGAAACATAAGCCTGGGATAAGTATGGAGTTCTCCTTCACCGGGTATACATCCTTCCAGCTCTGGCAAGCAGTAGTAGAAGACTTCTTGAAACAAAAACACAGACCCTCTTGTTCAATAACTATCAATGAACCCATCCTGCCCTGATCTTTGTGGTCCTTTTTGAATATATTTGTAGTTTTGGCCCATGGCAATCACTGTAGCTCTGGATTTTATATACAGCTGTTCTATGTGTATGATCTTTGCATGTCTGCATACGTTATTATATATGCACATCTCTTCTTTACATTCTACTCACATACACACCAGAGCAATGCCATAAATAATTTTGTTTGCACTAAGCATAATTCGTTGCTGATAAATGGAAATTATATTGATTTCTAGCCGTTGGAAGAGTCAACTTCAGCCTTTGTAATAAGGTGTCAGAAACAGAATATCCCGAGTTAAAAATCAATCTGACAACTCACTAACAGCTATGTACCTTTGTACACACACTTAGCAAATTGAGAGTTTGCTGTGATGTGCTTACTACTCGAAAAGAGATTGTCTCTTGTTTTCCCCTACTCAAGCAGCGTTTGGGTTTTCCTGTGAGAAGTGGATTGTGGAACAGTGCAGCTGTCCTGCCCCGAGATACGGGAACAGGCTGGACCGTGGGAGCCTCAGCCAGGGCACGGTGATGCTCAGACACTTGAAATTTTGTGACTGGCCTCGTCACAAGCTGATCCAGCTTATTAAGTCATACTCGTACATGTCTGGTGCATTTTGCTCCAGACTTTTCTAAATGCCAGGCCAGCTAAATAGGGAGGGAAAAAAGCCCAGGGACTCAGTCAGGGAATTTGGGGAAAGTTATGTTAACAGTCCTTTGAAGAGGAGTGAGTAGAGCCATTCCACAAAAGCCCTGGTCCTACAAAAAGGTATAAACAACTCCTTCTCAAATTAATAGTGGAAAACAGTAATATATAATCAGGTTGAAAAGTCAGGCTAATCTGAAAGAAGTGTAGCTAAAATAAATTACTAGTATCTTGGAGAGGGGGTTTGTGCTTAGCTAACTGGGCTTTCAAATGTTGGTTAGAAAAGGCAGTGACAATACAGAAAATGCAATCTTTCAACAGCAGATGTGATTTTTAAGTATCCTGTTTAGGGACATTCACTGCTGGCAAGTTTGACTTACATTATTTTATCTGAAATTGATCCCAGATTGTTTCCGAAGATTTTAGTAGCATCCAGGACATGGATGCCAATAAAAATAACCATGCTGGAAAAAAGTTTTGCTGAAAACAGTCAAAAAATTTAGATTCAGGAAATAGTCTTCAAAACAATAAATTATATTCTTCTCAAGATTAGTGCTTTAACGTGTGCTTGAAACTGAAAGAAAAAAGTTCTGGGGTTTTTGGTTTTTGAATAGCAGAGCCACGGAACTGCTGGGACTCATCAGAATGATCGAACGACAGTAAGTTTTGACATAGCTGGCAGTCTTCTGTCACTGAGACAGTAGTAACTGAGACTAAGGGTTGTCTGTTTATGGTGTCTCTTTGCTCTTGATTGTAAATTGAAATGCGAACTTTACATTTGAATTATCTGGGAAAAAAAAAGGATTTGCAAAACAAGGTCATTTAGTATTTGACAAAGATGCAAAGTGTTTGACAGCGTCTGAAGGGCATATATGAGGACAACAATGTTACATGAAGATCATGTGTCGTCACTGAGGAGTTCAGAACTTTCAATATTTATTTTCTAAATTAAATCCACATTTTATGATGCAAGGCATTTTTTGTAATGTATGGGGTAATTTCCACAACAATCTACTGCATGTGAGGCAGCATAATTTTCCACAAAAATAGAAGCACCTCATTCGTGTCTCTAGCATTACAAGGACAGATGAGAGTGTAAAAGGTGATGGTAGGGACCTGGAGGTCACTTAGTCTCCTGCGAGGAGCACAAGAGCATTCTTTGTTGTGTGATGCAGACTTTGCTTCTAACATTTATTGGCTGTTAAAATAAAAATAAGTTTCATTCTTGCTAGATAATCATTGTCTTAGGTCTCTGTAGTCTTAAAAGTCAAAATTAACTCAAAGTCTGGTTGATACGTTTGGCTTATCCAACATTATTTCTACTTCTTTTGACTGAAAGCAGCACACAATTCAAGGTTGCTCAGCATGATACAATCCTGCTTTGTAGTTATCCAAACTGCCACATTAAAACTTAACACCAGAAAAAGTCATACTGCTTTTTTTAAAAAAAAACTTTGTGTTTTACTGAGAATGAATTATGAATTTCCTAAGAAATTCGTAAGAATTTCCTAAGAAAACAAATATATAAATAAAATGTTGTTTTATAACTTCAGTAATAGAGAGTTGAGATCTATCCTTGGCTCTTAAACGAAGGGTAATAGTTTAGAAGTCCGGAATGATCACATACAACATCTATAGTAGAGGTTTCAGAAATCTGTGAAAGAACCCTTTACAATTTTAATATAGATGTATATAAACAAGAATTAAACAAATATGTTTTGGACATCAGTTATGACAGTTCTACTCTGTAGTCTTCCGTAGAAGCACCATTTCTAATTAAAGTATCGTTTTCAGGTGTTTAACATTGCATAGATAAACCAACTGCTCAATGACTAAGAATGGATGACCAGATTGAAAGAAATATGGGTCACCTTCCACTCTAAATTAAAATCGAACATTTCTCTGCACCTAGTTAATAGCAAGTCTTCCTCTTCAAGTTATTATTCTTTTCAAAATGCATTTGTCAAGTGTGGTGGTCGGAGCAAACCACTAGTTTTAGGCAGTAGATGTGACAGAGCCTTCCTAGCATGCCACCTTTAAAGCAAACCTGTG